ATGAAATGTTACAAATCAACTAACGGGTAGGGCTGCCAGCATTAAGAAACACCACCTGAGTGTATATAGATATCATTTTATCCTTGTTCAACATTCAGTGAACAACAGGAATGAAATGATATCAAAATATATCTTGAATTTCCGAATCCGCTCCTACGCTTCGAAGAACGATCGATCTCTTACTAAATGAATCGATCTACCTTAAAATCGGATACTGGCGAATCAATTAAAAGATCGGATCGAGATCGCACATCCCTACTCTACAGACATTCCAATGTACCTGTTTCTAACTTTGCTATCTCATCTCTTACTTCTTTTGTCGCTGATCATCAGTTTTCTATTCTTTTTGGGGATCTTAATGCACATCACCCGATGTGGGGTGACATTCGTCCGAATCGCGCAGGCCGTGCTCTTGTTGAATGTATTAACGAACAACATCTCGTTTTCTTGCACTCATCGCTGTCAGCTACGAGAGGTTTTCTCCCCCGAAACCTCCTCCCCATACTCGATCCTCTCGCTCGGCTCCCTCCTTCAGGGGATCCCCTTCGGCCCCCTGGTGGACACCTGACTGTACTGAGGCGATTAGGAACCGCGGTTCTGCGCTCAGGGACTTTAAGCATAATCCCTTTCTAGATAATTATATATATTATCGCTCAGTGGTGTCGCAAAGTCGCAAGATTCTTCGCAGAGCTAAGCGCGGAGGCTGGAAAGCCTTTTGCGCGTCCCTCGACAACAAAACTCCCACTACGGATATTTGGCGCATGCTCAAGCGATTTCGAAATCGCCGTCTCATCCCGGCCAACTCCAACGCTCTCAACAGTAACGCAGAGAACTCCGAAGCGATTCAGGACGCTATCAACAAGCTTTGCCCCCCCTTCTGCACTCCTCCTTTACCAATGATTCCTTTGCCTTATCAAGGTAACTTCTTGTGGCTTGATTTTTCTTTCTCCTTTAACGAGCTCTATTCGGCACTTCAGTCTGTCAAACCCTCCTCTAGTCCGGGCCTCGACAGAATAGACTACCGTCTTATCAAGGTCCTACCCGCTGAACTCTTACATTGTCTCCTCAATATCTTCAATAACCTCTTTCGTTACTCTGTCTTTCCGAGCCAATGGTCCCATTCTCTCGTCCACTTAATTCCAAAACCGAACTCCAGCGGGGTTCGTCCTATCTCTCTCACATCTTGCTTACTAAAAATCATGAAGAAAATAATTCTTAATCGCCTCTACTGGCTTACTGAATCTCCCTTTTCCGATTTTCTTCCCAATAATCAATTCGGATTCCGCAAATTCAGCTCCTGTCAGGACAACCTTACAGCTCTGGTCGCTAGTATACACTCTGGTTTCCTCGTGAAACAGGATACAGTGGCCCTATTTATCGATATCAGATCAGCTTTTGATAACGTACTGCCTCATATCCTTCTACAAGATCTTATGTTGCTGGATTTCCCTCCTCTTATTCTAGCTTTTATTTCTAACCTTATTTCTTCCCGCACTCTGCAATTCATCAACCAGGGTTCAATCTCGGATCCAAAAATTTCCCTCAAGGGAACCCCGCAGGGATCGGTCTTGAGCTCTACGCACTTCAACATCTACATGCGCAAGGTTAACGCGGTACTTCTCCCTTCGGTAGAATTACTGCAGTTTGCTGACGACATCGTTATCTTTTCTTCTGCAAGGGATACTATGTTGGCTTTACATTCCGTTGAACAATCTCTTCACAGCTTGGGAACATTCCTGGGGGATCGCGGACTGGAAATCTCCCCCCAAAAAACACATCTGATGATATTCTCTACTAAAAGACCTTCTATAAAGCCAAATTACTACATCACCTTTCACAACCATCCTATTCTTCCTGTCTCCTCCTTGCGCTTTCTTGGGGTACTTCTGGATCCGAAACTTACGGACAGAGCGCACATGTCATATATTACTCTCAAGGGTAAACGTATTCTTCAAATGAAACTCATATTTTTGGTACAATGACTAACGAACGTACGCGGGCACTACAGGTCATCCAAAACCACGCCCTTCGGCTCTACTTTGGGTATCGCGTTTCCACCCCTCTTAATGTGGTCCAAGCGGAGGCGGTGGAACTCTTCCTCCCACTTAGATTCCGCCTTCTAGCCTCTTGCTATTTTTTAAAAATCAGTTCGGTCACAGACCACTCTGTAGTTCTCAAACTCCACGAACTTTGTGATTTGGCCGCTGGTATGAACAAAATGAATTATCTGCGCACGCATTTTCCTGCGGCTCTTCTCTTTCAACAAATGCAAACCTTCCGCAACATCGTGGATCGCTCTTATACTCTTCCCAATTTTCGTCACTCTTTTTCTTCCTCCTTCATTTCCTGCTCGTACTCCTCTTTATCTACACCCTCCGGGCCGCGGTTTTCGTCCCGCAGTTGCAGGGGGAGCTTATGTACAAGCTCTCTTTTTACACCTCCATTTTCTCAGCGGAAGCCTTCGCGATATACAATGCTATAACTACAGCTATTGATCTACAATTAAGTAAAGCTACGATCGTTACCGATTCTCGTAGCGTACTCGAAGCCGTCAAAGGAACATGTACTCGCACCAACAATTACCTTATACCTCTTATCAAGGCGCGACTCGAAGAGGCTGAGAACGAGGGCACGCGTATTCAATTTATCTAGGTTCTTTCACATCGCGGCATCTCCGGAAATAATAAAGCCGATCAATTGGCTAAGCGAGCGATCCGTTATGACATTGAGCCTAACTTCAAAGTTCCCTATTCGGACCTATGTGCCGTCGTTAAACAACGAATCACCGACGATTTCTACCAACAACTAGAAGCCACCTCTGACATTAAGGGTACTTATTTCTTTAATTATGTCTTTCAAAATCTGCGAAACCCTGGTACTTCCGCAAGAAAATCTCTCGAGAGGCGATTGTTATGATTAAGTTTGCGCTCGAATCATTACAATCTCAACTTCAGCCTTTATCGCAAGAACCTTGTGGACGACCCCTGCTGTTCATGCGGCTCTCCGCAACAAGATATTATTCACTTGATTTATGAGTGTTCGGACACTCTCAACCATACACGATACTTGCGACGTATCATTGACTCGAATCAAGGTGATAAATTAACTAAGTGGTCGCATGCTATTGCTAATCCATCAGAAGTTCTATGTCGCCTTATATTCTCATTCAGTAAAACTTGCAACAGGCATTTCTGAATTCATATTCATATTCTCGCGCCGCCAGGTACCCAGCGCATGCGCGCCATCTCGTCTCTGCCCTTTCCTTCCCATCCTAGCGCAGCTCACAGCTCCGCTCGGCATTCGATGTACTGACGCGTGATTACCTGGGGAGTACTCCGTACTCCCAGCTGGGCGCTCCGACTTTCCATGGTTAATGCCAACACATCTATTTATCTCAATTTCCTATCAAGTTAACTTACTAAACGTGATTTGGCCGTATCGACCTCTTATTGATTGTTTGGAGGCGTGAGCCATAAAAGAAGAAGAAGTGGTGCTCCACGCGCGATCCGGGATCGCGCCTAAACATCCGGGCCCTAGTTATGATCTCAAGACGATCTTGATTAAATAAGGACAGTCTTGACCAAGACGATCTTAAGCGCTGCCTTAAGCTTTGACTATACAGGTCAAAAAGTATTTTCCCATATTTGGATAATTTATAATTTATAAGAATATCATGAGACCTTTTGATTTTGAAGCTTAAAAGAGACTTGAGAAGTATGATAGAAATACAAGGATATTATCATCCTGTGGACGAATTTAGAACTCTACTGCGCATCAGTTTGATGACATCACATTCGTGCAGACTCGGTACTTTTCGGAGCGCTTCGCTTCGATATAATAGCTGCACATATGATTCTCATCGAAATTGACGTTGATATATTGGCATGCATTTCCAAGATCACGTGATTTCACAACATCCTGCCGGGCTTTGACCGATCTCTACTTTTAGGATCTTTGGGTTAAGCTGCAATTCTCATTGGCTGGATATACTTGGGATGCGCAAGAAAATATGTTTGTATTTCTACCATGTTGAGAAGTACAATTTGAGTGTTTATAACCTCGCATTCATGTGATATATAGAATATAGCAAAGCAAGAAATGTACTTAACGTTTTACTTATTGATTTACTTAATGTACACTCACTGACTAAAAGCAACAATTTTTTTTAAATGGGTTTCGGAATGCAGTCTGTTCATTGAGCAATTGATTCTTATTTATGAATCCAATCGCTCGGTGAGTAGGCTGCATTCTGAAAACCATAGAAAAAAACTGTTACAACCTTTTAGTCGGTGAGTGTATGTAATGTTTTAATTAATGCATGTAACGTTTTCCTCAATGCACATAATATTTTATTTGGAATTAAAAATCTGTTTTATCGACACGATCAAGTTTGGCCGTCGCTCCAGCATCCTCTTAGACATTTCCACAATTCGTGGTTAACTCTTAACCGATGTTCAATTTATTCTTTATTTCTTTCCAATTCTAGAATCAAAAAGAGATGAGAAATAAGTTAAACCTTGGTTAAGAGTTAACAGTGAATTGTGAAACTGGACTAAAGACTCATATACTTTTGTGCCCTGTAGCCAATTCCTCTGAGCAGTGCAATAGTTAAAAGAAAAAAAATTTTTAACTATTTTTCGATGTCCGCTTTCAACGTGTCATTTAGTATTACATTTTGTGTAATTCACATTTGATCTCCATGGTCATCAAGAGGAACGAACGTTCAAGCTTTAATTTGAGCTGTGATTCATCTCGATACAATGATTTTTCATTGAGTTATCGTTATTTGAAAATATTAAAAATTTGTGCTAAAATTTAGTGGCCCATTTTTTTTGCCAGTGAGTGTATATATTTAAAATATTAAAAAGTTTCATGAAAAAGTACAATGATGAATTGAATTTTGCCTAATATTGATTCCATATTTGTGGGCGCGCGCGCGTGTGTGTAGATTATTTATTATTTTCAATTCTATAATAATTATTTTTATTTGTATGTAATACCTTGTGATTTTTCTAAAGCTTCTTTGGCAGAATTCATTTCCGCTTCTTGGATACTATGTCCTGAAGCCGTAGCTAAACGTTTTCCTTGGAAATATACAGCGACTGTATAAACCCTTGTATTAGTTGGTCCTTTACACTCGATGACTCTAAAGAAAAAGCAAGCCACATAAGAATGCCATATAAAAATAAATTTTTTGCATCATTTGTTCTTTATATCTCTAGGAAGAAAATTTAGACATTTGCAAAAATAAATACAATATACACATATGTAATTTTACAGAGGTTTTTTTCGTAGGCAAAAAAATAAAAACTTACTTGTACACAGGAATATCTGGTTCACCACCGTCCATAGTTCTTAAAGTTAAGCAACACTGTTGTAATTTGCTCTTTGGATCATTCCAGTCTTGATTCATAATAAAATCTTGTAAACGTGGGAAGAAGCATACATCACAAAATACATGACAATACTTTAAACCCTTATCGACATAAAGTGCGCCAAGAAAAGCTTCTAATAAATCTGCTCTGTCTTTTGTTTTCAATTCAGCTTTTGGATTCCCATAAAGCGCATATTGAGTCATACCGAGGTCGTCACAAACAACCGCTTGCGTTTTATTATTTACGAGAGAGCTTCGCAATAACTGCAACAAAATGATTATAAATTTAATGGAAAAAAAAATTATCAAAACAATTTACGAACTATGCTTACTGATAAATGTCCCTCATGATGTTCCGGAAAGTACTTATACAAGTATTCAGAAACGATAAGCTGCAACACAGTGTCTCCTAGGAACTCTAGTCGTTGATTAGATCCTAATGTTAAATTAGTATATCCTATACTACGATCTGTGAACGCTCTAGCAAGAAGACGAATATGAGTGAATTCTATTCCGATTGATTCCTCGAACTTGGTCAATTTCTGATAACATAAGATCAAAAAAAAGCGATTTCATAGTTGAAAGTTTGTTAAAATGCTGATTAATACCTGTAACAGTTCAAAGCTGGAAATCCATTGTCTATCTCCTGTCGGTTCCTGTTCTTGAAGAGGATGTCGTGGATAATTGACCCAAACTTTGGCAAGATCCTCTTCACCTTTAAAAAGCGTCTCCCCAAAAACCCGGTCAGCCACTTCTATTCCTCCGTCAAGAAATAGTGAACCCATCAACGCTTCGAAGCAATTCGCCATTGCATGTCTTAGCTCCAAGTCGTGACAGAGGTCGCTACCGTGAGCATAAAGCATATACTCTTCTAAATTCAGTTTCTTCGCCAATACGGCGAGATGCTGATTTTGCACAATTGCTGCTCTGTAAGTAGCCAAACCGCCCTCCTCCAAATCCGGAAACATGTGGAAGAGGTGAATGGAAGTAAGGAACTCGACAACCGCGTCACCAAGAAATTCTAGCCGTTCATTATGCGCTATCGATGATTCCGTTTCCGTTTTCGCGCCGAATCTGGACATTATGTTTATTAGAGTGTTGATACCGCGCTTACGCGTGTTCATATAATGGATCCTGCGGTCGCCGTACTCGGGCTGTCTTATGCCACAATTTGTCAAAGAATTCCGCGCGTGATCCGGATTTGTGCCAAAATTCTCGCGGTAGCTGGGATGCGTGAGAGCTAGCTGGAGTAGATACCTGTTCTTAAATTCGTATCCCAACGTGCGTTCTAGATTATCCAGAGATTTGTGGAATCTCAGATGGCAGACTAGTACTGGTATCAACATCGCGTGTTGTACAATGTCGCACATAATGCCAGTTCTGTAAAATCCTTCGGAGCTAACATCGACCGTGACATCGCGCTTCATTTTGCTCTGAGTACGTAACTCTTGCAACTTATTTTCCTTTGCCTCTAATTTTCTCTTATCTTCGAAGGATGGTTTCGACATGTTTGCGAGTAGATGTCGAAATTTCACGTAATCTCTCCAGGCTTTTTGGTAACTGGTAAAAAGCGTGTTCATAGATATAGAACTATATTTAAAGAATAAGCTTTGTGTATTAAGAAAAATGTAACTTGCAAAAAATTGAAAGAAAGGTTTCTTATGCATTCATTAAATTTGATCACTTCTAAGAAATTTAACGATTATTTTAAGTAAAAAATGTAATAATTACTCTATATTAGTACACATAATGGTGTTAAAATAAAGTTATGTATTGCATATAATCAGAAAAACATAATTTTGAATTAATCGAAAATCGAAATATATTGATGCAAAAATTTCATTGTGTAAAAGCTATTAAAAGAGGTACCAAACAAGAATAAACCAAATCTCGAAAATTGGATTCTAATCTTATTTCATTTAAAATTGTACACATTTTCAAAATTGTATCAGCTTATCCTATAAGATACTTACTCTGCATTTCCTGCGTAACTAAGTTGTGGTGGACGGATACCAAAATGAACTATCTCAGGATAAGCAAGCGGTGTCTTATTGCACAATTCTTCTTGATTTCTATCCAACTGATCAACACGAACGCTGCACGGTTTCTTCCCTGGATAAGTCACGACCATCCCCTTTACCTCGTCAGCAAAATCTTGCCATTTATATTGTGGCATCGCCACTAATCTTGATAGATTGTCTGGATCTATTAAGAGAGTACTACTCTTTATCAAATAATTCAGAACTTCGTTTATTGATAGAATCTCTTGACCATTGTCAGTTAAGTCACGTACAAATCTTGGCATAAAATGAAACTGCCCGCAGCCAGATTTGTCCTGAGCTGCGTGTAAATCAAAATCTACAAGTTCCAAAATCTCTTTAAATAAATATGTCTCTGTGAAAATTAAAAATATTTTGGTTAAGTTAGGTAACACAAGAGAAATATTTTTTATATATAATAGAACAAACTACGTACGAAAGAAGTCTAGTTCCTGTATTGTAAAATTTTCCGGCAATTTCTCTTCTATATATAGAATTGTATATTCAATATTAAATCTTATAACTTTGCATGTAGGTAACTTAACCAATGGGAAATGAGAAAGCATGGAGAAGCCTTCAAATATAAATTCATGTTCGTCATGTTTAATAATCGTCGGTGTCTTTGTAAGAAAATTTGTCGGTGGACTAATGGTTATTCTATAATGATATAATTTATCTGCATTGTTCGTATTTAGATCGCACTTGTTTATCGCACCTTCTCCAGCATAGATTCCATGTCTTATACCTGAACGTCTTGATTTTGCACTGCATCTACATAATGGACCATCATTCATCTATAATTAAAAAAATAACACTATATTTTGAAATGTTAAGGCCAATGTTAAGGCAAAAAAAAAATTGATTTATGAAACATTTCTCGATATTACTTCGCCAGGATCATTAAACCACATTTCAGGATGCAATCTTTGTGGATGCTGTTTCTTTGCCATTAATTCTTCCATTGTTCTGTCATCTTCATCCATAGAATTATCACTATCGGATGAAGAGCTGCTACTGCAAGCTTCAGATTTATGACGGCAAAGACGTGCTCTTGTTTTTCTTGGAGGTGGTTCATAAGGTGGCTAAGTGAGATAACATATTATAGTTTTACATAATTTCTTTATATAATTATGGAAATAAATATACCTGCAATTCTCTCGCTGCAGCTGCTCTGTCTATTAACACTTTCTTAAATGTTACACATAATTCTTGCAGCTTCAAAGTACTTTTCACTATTTTTGAATTATTTTCATCCCTGACATAATACAAATCCGCTGGTGATGTGCGTGTCCAAATCTTTTTTTCACTTTCAAGTAAACCCTTAGATCCCAATACTGATAATTCATTTAGTTTTCGCTTTATGTCCTTACTCGTTGCACAATAATTACGCCTAATGTAAAAAAAATAAAACAAATAAGGAGCATACAGCCACATATGCAAGATATTTTTCGCACAAGTCATATATTTAAAATTTTACATGTAAACATTTTGGTCAAGTCGTGTCCATCATCAGTATCATAAAGAAAATGTGAGATGTTAAATAATAAAATTGCGCATTAAGATGTCGAAATACAAAAATCTGAAAATTAATCCTGTTTTCTTGATCTTTTTGACAATGAGATTTATTTCTTGATAATTATATGTTGAACACGGGATTACCAGATTCTGTGTTTCCACAACTATCAAATATAACGTTATAATGCGATGTTACTTGGTATGAAGAAAATTAGCTTGGATGGAAAAATTTTCAATCTGATAGTAAGCTATGTACAAAAGTTCGTGTAATTACGTACGTAGCAGTCTTACTATCGGATTGAAAATTTTTCCATTCAAGTTAATTTTCTTTATACTAAATAACATTGCATTATAACGTTATATTTGATAGTTATGGAAATACGGAATGTGGTAATCCCGTGCTTAACATACAATTATCAAGAAATAAGTTTGAATCTTATTGTCAAAAAGATCAAGAAAACAGGATTAATTTTCGGATTTTTTATTTTGACAACTTAATGCGCAATTTTATCATTTAACATCTCACATTTTCTTTATTGTACTGATAATGGTCACGACTTGACGAAAATGTTTACATGTAAAATTTTAAATATATGACTTGTGCAAAAAACATCTTGCGTATGTGGCTGTATGCTTCTTTTTATTTATGTTTTATGATTTTATGTTATCGAGCCACCTCTAATAATTTTTGTTTAAATTTAAAAAAAGTTTATTTAAATTTTTTAGATACATTATGTATAGCTCTTACAAGGAATATGGAAGAAGCAAATAAATTTTGACTAAAGAAAAAGCATTGGAGATATATATTTTGCGGTATGGAAATAGATTATATGGACGAGTATCAGAAGACAAGCAGGTTCATAAAATTGGATAAGGTGATGTGAGGTAAGCTTTAGAATGAAGAATTGAATACAATTAAAAGAGAGGTTCTAAAGAAATAAAAAGAAAAGAAATAGATAAGGAAACAAAGAGAATGAAGGGGAAGAGGAAAGGCTTAGGTGTATAGATACAATACAACATAAGACAAGTATTATGAAGGAGAAAAAATGAGTAGTGACTAAATGTAACTAAATAATAAGCACTGAGAAAGTTTATAAAAAGCAAAACTGTGAAATGTAATATAAGTAAGTTAAAAGAGAATGTTTGCACAGATCTGGTTTTTTTGTGAGTGATAGACTTAGGGTACAGCAACAGCTAGGTTAACTAATTTAAGTAGATGTATAAAGGAAATAAGTTAAAGATATAGATAGATGAGTGGGTTAAGTTTTATTTATTTATAAATTATGTCTCTTCTTGTGATAATGTAAGTAAAACTAAAAAAATAAATCTATATAACTCTTGCATGTAGGAAGCATGTAGGATTGTATAGAATAAAAATCAACAGTGATCGATTTCTTTTTTCTAGAAAAACTAGTTTTATAATACACAAGAATATATACAAAAGTCTTACCTATACTTCTCTAACAATATCTCTCTTTCAGTAAGACCTTTTGTCCGTTTACCGTTATTAGTTGGTATAGTGTCCTTGGATAAATGAGACTCCCGTGATTTCGATCTTTTCCTACTTCTATTGCTTATGTATGATTCTTCTGAGCAAGATGTATGACTTCCATGTTGTTTAGATTTTTCAAAATGCTTGCTATCGTGTGAAGAGTCTCTCAAATTAGATATTTCCCTATTATGATGACGATATCTGTCTCTGTAATCTTCATATTGTGATTTATATACTTTCTCATGCGTACTATGTGGACTTTTAGATCTCTGTTTGCTAACTGCATGCTTGGACATTTTTTTGTTATTATGCCTCCATTTTTTCATTCTTTGCGATGCATCATATGTTTGCGTTAGATGTAATTTCTCTTTGTCATTATACTTCGTTGTAGTTGTATCATACCATGAAGTAGATGCATATGTTGTCCAACTCGTGGAAGAGTTAGAGTACCATTCATTACCAGTATTATTATTGTATACATTTTCAGATTTCGTATTCCAGTTGACATAATTTTCATTCATATATTCTTGTGCAGAATCCATTCTGCCATAATACTGATCGCCACACTGTGAATTCATTTGGTTCTGATAAGGGATATTATTGGAGAAATTGGTTTCATTTTGGTAGGTATTAGATGCATAGTACATTGAATTTGTCAAGTTAATATCAGGGGAAACATTTGATATAGTTGAAGAAGGAATATTTGATATATCAAGAGAAATATTTGGAGGAGGTACACTGTAGGAATATGACGAATTAAAATTGGGAGGTTGAGAATAGTCAGAAAAATTCGATATCTGAGGAGTTGGATAATATTGTGTGTTCTGTTGAAACACCTCGGTATTCCAACAGTATGGCTGATCCGTATTCATCATTGAGGGATCTGTCATTTTTATTTGCAAAATTATTTCCCTTGAAAGTAATTTTTAAGAAAAGATGCAAAGCTCAACATATATAGCATATTATTCTGATAATCAGAACAGCAAAAATTTACTAGTATGAACTTTTCCCATTTTTTATTTTATAATATACCTGTTGGGACAATCCTTTTTTTAAATTATAAATTAAGTGTATTCAATTAACCATTAAAACTTTGACACATTACATTTGCTTTTGCACCTTATTAATCATTTTCCTCATGCTCTTAATAACCTTTAACAACAGATTATTTTTTCAATTCTCTTTCACATATAAGATGTATTACTCTACTAATTCCTTTTGGTACAAAATAATGCATTATTTAACACACTTTCTAATTTTTCATTCATAACTACTTCACACTTGTTAATTATATCCATTATATCTATCACTAATTATATGATTTAACCACATTCGCAATAAATCATAATGGCTCCTACATACAGAACACGCCTGACGCCAACGCGGCAACGCAAGGATGCGTTCAGAAACCCAGATAACTCTAAGCTATAGATTACGTAACGTACATTATAGCAAAAATGCACTCTAGAGTTATGACATAATTCCTGAACGCAGCCCAAGGTACAATTTCATGCAGCGAAGCTTCGCTGGCGAAGACCCCCCACTCCGTCGATTCGTGCGAAAATCCGTAGCGAGCAAAGCTTCGCTCATAGTTCGACGTCGAACTATGAGCGAAGGAACGCTGCGAAACAGAAAATAACCTACAAATAAGATGACAGACAACAATTTAATGAACGTAGACGAAATATAATATAATATAATAATAATATTATAATAATAATATAATCCTCGCGAACCGAGATATTTAGCGTTAAAGTTGACGACTATAGAGGTTAGGAAATCTGTCATACTGACTATGTGTAATAAATTAAACGTATGTAGTAGTGC